ATTCTACCTCCCTTACCTTGCTAACTATTGGAGGTATATCCACATTCGTGTACTACATCATCTAACTTCTACCCTCAAACCTGACTCCTCCCATCCCAGTAGCCACAATCCAAACACTGCAATTTCTATTCCTCTTCTTTCTAGAACCATCTCCCTTCCTTCTCACCTGCCCTCTGGAACACCCACTCAGTCTACAACAAGCTCACCTCTGTCCATGGCCTTTTTATCTCCTTCTGTGCCTACAAAGTATTTTTCATGTTCTTGCCTCAACTTAACCTTTCTGGTGCTTTGATAAAGCTGACCACTTACACTTCAAACTTTGGTTTTTGAGACTCTGTTCTTTAAACTAACAATATCATACATAGCCATCCGCAACTTTGTAGCGGGTAACATCACCAACCTCATTTCAAAATACCACTCAAACCATCCTTTTTACGCCTCTTAAGATCTCCTGTTCTAGCTCCCTCCTTACCTCCTCCCTTGCTCACCTCCAGGACTTCTCCAGAGCCTGTCCCATCCTCTGGAACTCCCTACCCTAATCTGTCTGGCTTCTCCTACTGTGTCCACCTTTAGATGATCCCGGAAATCTTATCTTTTTAGGGAGGACTGCCCTGCCTCTATTTAATAAACTCTACTTTTACTTTTTCCCTCAACCTATCCCTAACAGTATTAACTTTTATATCATTTGACCCTTCCTTTTAGAAAGAAAGCACTCACCAGCAGGCCCTCTGAACACTCTTGTACTGCATATAATTGTACTCTCTCCCTTTATGTTGTAAAGTGCTGTGCAAACTGTTGGTGCTACATAAATCCTATATAGTAAAATTAATAATTATATTTAATATCCAGGAGAAGGGTAATCTTCTTTCTTACTCAGCTGTTTGCTTGTTTTTAGTACAACAAAATAGTTAGGGATAAAATTAAAGCCTTTTATTTAGGACCTTGACAGCACAGAAAAAATACACTGCTGAAAACCTACACCAACAATTACTACTTGCTGAATACAAGTGGTAAATATAAGATGTTCGCATGCATGGTTTCATATGTATCTACCTAAAGGATAAAAACATAAAATTCATTTGCATTTTTAAATATAAAGAGAATGTATACAATAACTATATCCTTGTAGGATTGGGCCAAGAAAAGAGAATGTAAATATTTTAAATGATGGAAAATGTGGTCCAAGGATCAAAGCTTGATACTGACAACCAAATAATCACACTCAAAAACTGACAACCCCAAATTCATACCTAAAATTCAATCGCCCTTTTAAATATTTCTGGTATCTTTTGTCAAACTTACCAGTGCCTCAGTTGACTGTATTTGTAAACCACTAAACTAAAGACATCAGGCGATAGAATTCTTAGGAGAATGATGAGATTACTAGATTATTTACTTGGTGATTTTCTTAGCACTGCTGTGTTCTCTTGATGCACTTTAATTAAATTATTCAGGCCTTCCAATAATTATGTAATTCAGCACATGTAATTGAGCACTCTACTACCACTTCCCTGGTTCATGACTGTGAATACAAGTAGAACTTCTGTTAAAAATAAAATATGATGTTATGGATTTCAAACTTTTCATTTCATTTATTTTTACGTGATAACATTTCTGAAATACTGCTATATCAGAAATTAAGTAAACTGTGACACATCTGCATAACAGTTGGAGTCAACTGTACATGCTGTGTTTTAAATGAATATCTGTTTCTCTAAACATGATATACCAGTCCATATTAGTGAAATATCAAATATAATATAGTGAAACACTATTAAATCTTACTGCTGCCTGCCCCAGATGTCTTCTGCGTACAATTCCACCAGCTGTTGGATCTCATGAGAACCTGATCTGTGAGGTGATCATTAAAATGAAAAGGGGGGGCGGTAATATGTCAGTTGCCTTTAAACAGCACTATTTGTTCGAAAGAGATACACTGTGTTCTAAAAATCTGTTAAAACTGGTGCAATAAGTAAATAATGGCAATCTCTGCCTTTAGGGGGCATGGCATACATTCCTTGCTGAAATAGTTTGTGGTTAAAGGCCTTTTGCTGGCTTGCATAAGTTTGCTTTCTCCTGCCTCAACAATGGTTTAAAAAAGCAGAACTAAACATTAGCATGTAAGAATTTGGGGGCTTTATACATTCTACAAAATTTCACATCCAAATGAACAAGCCACGGCAAATGTAGCTGGCACTTTTTTTTCCAAGGAAAGGTGGCAACTTTGATGCCCTACAGTGCGGGTTCCATAACAAAATCCTGGAGCATTGGACACAATAATTACCAAAAATATAGATCACTGTTTAGCAAAGCTAAAAGGCTAACTTTCATGATCTTAGAGCAGTGACCATGTGATCAATGCTACAGCATTTAACCTTATAACTAACACAAACAAAGGTATTATTACTTTTCTTACCATTTGCTAGATTATTAGTCCAGAATGAGAAGTAAAAAATACCATTACAATTTAAGTATAATAATATTCGTATACAGTGTTGCTGAAACTTATCAGAGAAAGCCGTGACTATCCCTGCCACAGAACACACAAATCTCCCATACACCATAGATACAATTGTATTTATGAAACACTTTACTTATAAGTTACATTAATATGATATTTAGTGACAAATGTGTTTACTGATGGAGTAATACAAGCATTATGGTAAGATTTGAACTGGCCTTATTACCTTTCATTTTTCTACTATTATTGTTGAATGGGTCCTGTTACTGAAAGCTCATCCATGCATATATCTTGAGTTTCTAACAACTACTACATAGTATTTCACAAACACGAAGCAATTAAAAAAAAGAAACAAAAAGAAAGAAGAAAACCATATTATGGACTTTTTAGGCACATACACAAAAATATAAAATTATAACACAGTATATAAAAGTATATAATGTAACACAAAGCTGATAAAATAAAAGAAATAAAATAATGTACCATTACAAAAATGTAATCTATGGGTGTCCTCTAATTAAAAAACTGTAATCTCTAGATCAAGTTTGTAATATAGGTAGACTTGATTATACAACACATGGGGGTCCCCAGTTCCAGATACTTGTGGTTCTATATGTTTTGTGACTTGGACGTATCCTCAGGAACTTTGTGGTGCATTAAATTATAAGGAAGAGTACACATATAAGACTGAGCGGGAGCACAGGGGCCAACACAGGCCACAGATCCCCAAATGGATGAGGAGTGCATACACAGTATGTACACCGATCAGGCAGGAAAAAAGCATGTTCAACAGGAACTAACCCATTTAGGGGTGTAAAAAAGAGTTGTGCAGATAACCAAGCCTTGAATAATCCACTATATTACCATACTCCAGATGTCACCCGCATTCTTGTATATCACATTTGCCAAAATAATAGAAGGATACCTATATGCCAAAAACAGGGCCAAATAATGGGGGAACCAGTGGGGGCACTGAAATGATATGATATTCCTCTGCCAAATACACCATCAAAAATATCCCTAGGGTCATTCTTGGTTGGCTCTATTGACCAGCTATAGTATGTACGTTAGTCATATAAATAAATGAGAGGCTAGCTCTCTCTAAAAATGCAATTAATGTGATGTATTGAAAGCTAAATTTATGTTACTTTAAAACACATTTTCCTCGTTAGCAAGGGCAAGTGCAATGCAACTGATATAAATATACTGTGTGTGAACTGTTTTACGTGTTGAGGATTTATAATTCCGTTTTGACAGTCTTGTGATTCACATCCTTGCAAGACTGCATAGCCAGGAAGATGGCTTTAATTTCCTTGTCAGTTTCACAACTTTCTGTGCCACTTGTCTGATCACTGCACTGTGAATCAGCAGTCTGTCACCTTACTGGCTGTATAGTGTGGTAGGCAATCACAAAACTAGCTGAGCAAGATTAAAAATCCTGTGCCAGGTAACACAGTCATGTACATATATTTTTAATTGTGTATTTAGCTGTGTTCCTGTAGTGTAGTTATAAATTTATACCTGGAACAGTGTTTCACATCGAACTTTACTTATAGTACTGCTTGGACCTTGAAGAAGGGGACATACCCCGAAAGCTTGTCCTCAAAATTGTATGTTAGTGCAAATAAAAAAAGTATCATGGACAGTACTCAATTGTTTACATCGAACTTTAGATGTGAGCTAAATACATTTTTACCCAAACTCTTTCAGCCAAAGGTACTTTCTTGACTTAAAGTAGCCTTTTAGCTAGAGCTCATCAACATTTTCCAGTGAATATTTTGTAATTTCAAAAGTTGAAAATATGTAAACAATCAATACATGTATACAGCTGTTATAACGATCAATGCAGGATGACATTTGGTCTTCAACAAGGTTTCAGCAAATCACACGGACTGATTGAAACCTGACCTTAAGCAGTTACCACACTAGAAATGGTCTCTTAGCAACATTTGCTAAAATGAAATTTAAACCGCACTTTAGAGCTCAGTAACACGGGGCTATATATAAATTGTGCGCTTAAGATCTATTTTCCAGTTGATTATAACTAATACCATCCATGTAAAATAATTAGTAAAAACTGGTTTTGACTCAAATGCTTTAATTAGCATAAAAATAATGCTTGACTAACAATAAGCTGCTTTTTTCCTAAGTCTAGCTTTGTAATAGCACCAAAGTACAAAGTCTACTAATAAGAGGTCTGAATAGAACATGAAGAAGAAAGCATAGAGAAGTCAAAGCAGTTTATTTAATGAAGAACAATCTGCAATAAATATATTTACATATTGAGGCTAAATTTATATTCTGCCAGGTAAAAAAATGGTATTGGTATCTAGTTAAGCCACTAGCTATAAATTGCCCTCATTATAAAAGATTTGGGATATTAAGTCTGGCAAGAGATTAAGGCGCTTAGACAGTATGGAAAATAAATCATACTACAATTATTTCTTATATTCTGTCTCAGTATAGTATAATTTAGTATAATGAAGAAAGCCAATACCAGGCATATTTACAGATATGATAAGCATTCAGCAGGTTTAACCACTTCAAGTCCAGACACTTTCACCCCCTTCCTGTCCAGGCCAATTTTTCAGCTTTCAGTGCTATCACACTTTGAATGACAATTGCGCGATCATACAACACTGTACCTGTATGAATTTTTTAGCATTTTTTTTGACAGATAAAACTTTATTTTCGTGGTATTTATTCACCACTGGGATTTTTATTTTTTTTTCTATATAAATGAAAAAGTCCAAACATTTTGAAAAAATGTTTTTCTTATACAATTTTGCAAATAAATAATCGTTCATCATAAATCTTGGCCAAAATGTATTCGGCTATCTTTTTAGTAAAAATAAATAACCCAAATTAGTTTATAACCAACAATTATAATTTTTTAAAATTTATTTTACATTTTAATTTTATTTTTTTTATTATTATTTATGTTTTTTTTTTTTTTCTACATACCGTCACCATAGCAGTAGTGTCACCATAGTGACACTTTACTACTTGTGAGGGTTGAAGAAGATTTTTTTTCTTTTTTTTTTTACACTGATTGCTTTTACACCCATAAAGGCTGTACAAGCAATCATTTCTCCTCTCTGGCTGCATTCTTGCAGCCATTGAGAAATACTGTGTGAGCTGTGATTGGTCACAGCTTGTCACATGGTATAAGGCTGTTGCCTTGTACCATGTGACCTCTGTGATCATTCACAGATTTCACAAGTAGTAAGCAATGATGTCAGGAAGTGACATCTTGTTTACTACTATTCATGTGATCACTGATTGGCCAATCAGGGATTACATGATTCGGGACCTCACACAGAGGTCCTGTACACTGACTAATGTTCCGCTGTGTCCTCCGGACTCAGCGGGCACTGGATCGCGGTGCCTCGTGCTCCCAGGGAGCGCGCACAAGCAGTGAATGCGGGGGTCATTTATAAGCGGCAACTGCTCCCATCTGGCCGCTTATGTACATGGGCTGGAAGTGAAGTGGTTAAACAGCAGAAATATAGTAAATAAGGTTATACAAAGATGGAATGACAAGGGTATTATGGATTAAATGTGCCTATACAGTAGGTAAAGTAGGTAAATTGTATGTACAGCCAAAACTTTTTTTTTTAATATGGTAGGGAAGGGTTAAAACCCCTGCCAGATTTTTACTGATGTCTACGTGTAAATTAACCCATTGATGCATGTGTCACACACATATGTGACATTTTGGCGGTGCAGGCACTGCACATATGCGCACTGGCATCTGTGCTGGCAGCACAATCCATAATGCACTGCCAGCATGGAGGCTGAGCTATCAACAACAGCTCCAGATCTATTACCAATGATCGGGAGCATGGAGAACTGGTTCCCGATCACGTGATCCCTGTGATAGCCTGTGATTGGCTATCATAGCCATCACTCTGTAAAACTCAACTTTGTACTCTCGTTCACCTTCTGAATGGAGAAAAAGCTCCATCATATCTTTTTATCTTAGGCTGAGAAAAAGAACATCAGCAAAAAAGCCTATGTGTAACAAATATTAATAAAATAAATGAATAAGATAAAAAGGGTAAATCAGAGCTTGATCTAGGTTACTGCCAGAGTATGTGTCAAGGTCAAGGTCAAGGCTGCGGTCAAAGGTCAGGGTCAGTATGTATTAGGTAGAACTAATAAAGAAAAACTTTTACTTGGTGTCAGTGTGTTTTAGGTAGGATCAAAAATGCACACTTTAACCCTACTACAGATACAAACAACAAATAATATACACCTATGAGTTTCTATTGTGAACACCAGTAGCTGAAGAATTTATTTTGAGTTTTTCTGGTGGTGGGTCATCATAATAGAAATAAATATACAGCTATATTTATTTTTTTTTTAACTATTCTGGGAAAGTTTTTCTTTGATAATAAAAAATATCAGGAGATACTATTTAAGATTTACCACCAAATTAAGGCCGAATTATCCTAAAAATAAATTCCCCTAGATACAATAAGTAGTTGTGATGATATGTAGAATTAATTAACAGATGCCAAAGTAGCAAAACTGTGTTCAGGCACCAAAATTTGTTTTACCTTCAACATTAAGTCCCTGTTTGATGTGCGTGTCTTGGAATGTGATTTGCATGCCATGCAACTTGCAAAGCGCATGCCAAGTTGCACCCTATTGTCCACAATTACAGCGGTCGTATCTGTGCGGTTCCAACTTGGTCAGAGCCGCACCAATTTCTAAATTAGTACATGCACTACTTTTGCTGCAATTTCCATAGACATCTGGGTCAGATGTCTTGCAAATCACACCAGAAATCGGAATGTCCCCTGAATCTGAAATCATGCGACTTTACTGTAAGTCGCACGATTTCAAAGTCTGGCTTGATGTGACCGGGGTGTAAGAGGATAAGAATACAAAGTAAACAAAACAAAGGTCACACCCCACCTAGTACTGAAATTTTTCGAAAAAAACAGGCATATTTTGCATAAAAAAACATGCAGTCCACCCTCCCTAGGCCTTCTAACCTGAACTAGATAACGGACACGTGGGGATTGATTTACTAAAAGCAAACAGGCTGTTTACTTTGCAAGGAAATTTTCCTTTTGCAAGGGAATGTTCCCTTAGCTTAGTGAATGAGGTGAATCCATGCTGACTTCCATCATTCAATTATATACCAGCAAAAATATTGCTTTTTTAAATTTCCCTTGCATGTAATTGGCTATTCTTTGAGAGAGAAATCTCACCACATTCACTAAGGTACCGTATTTTTTGCTCCATAAGATGCATTTTGTTCCCCGAAAAAAGTGGGGGTAAATGTCTGTGCGTCTTATGGAGTGAATATGAAGAGGCCGGCCCCATATTCCCCCCATCGCCGCCATGTTAGAATATCGGGCAGGCCGTTCGGCTCTTCTTTGGCAGCGCCAAGCAGGGCCCAAAGCAGCTGCCCCTTAAAGCAGAGTTCCGGCTGAAGAAAAGAAGTCAGCAGCTACAAAAACTTTAGCTGCTGACTTTTAAAATACAGCCACTTACCTGCCCCTTGGTTCAGCGGTGTCCTCACCACTGCAGGTTTCACCCGACTGTCCTCTCTCCCTGGCGCCGGCATCTTTAGTGTGGGCACCCAGCTGTGACAGCTTGTGGCTTCACAGTTGGTTGCCCACTGCCCATACGCGAGAAGCGATGCGCTTTGTGAATGACCCCGTAGTCTTCTGGGACCTGTCACGTGTCCCAGAAGACTACGTGGAGGGATGACAACTTCCACTTCTGATCGCCTAGGCGATCGCAGTGGAAGTGGGAGCGGGTACCTGTCAAATTCGGGTACCCACTCCCTCCCCCGCTCCTCAAAGGTCTAAACTTTTAATAAAATGTTTTTTTAGAAATGTATTTAGCCTTTAAAGGATAAGATTGCTTAAACAAAAAATTATAAATACAGATGTGCATTTAATATTTTTTTTGTAGTAGCCTGGAAAGCATTGCACCAGCAATCAGCAGATCGCAGGTGCCATGCAGGACTCCTACAGACTGTCAGTGTAAGCTGTCTGGCCATACATCATACAGGCAGGCAGTTTCACACTGATGGGAAGAATCAATGAACTACCAGAGTGCTCAACAGCACCATGGTAGTTAATTAAGAACTACAATCCAACAGCCGCAAAGGCTGTCATTACTTGTAGTTTTCACATTTACAAAACTCTGTTAATAAATGACACAGCTGGGTGGGAAGAGTCCCGCAGGGCCATGTTTTAAAAAAAATCCCCTGCTGTCTGTTACAATGGGGAATCTGGAGGGGTGGGGGTGTGGGGGCTGGTTACATGTTAATATGGGTGGTGGGGTGGGGGCCGGGAATACCCTTAATATGGGTGTAACATGTAACATGTTACAAAAGGTGAATTTATCATTTAACAACCTCCTGCCCAGCCTATATGCAAGTGAGGGATGAACAGGAACTTTTTTATCCTTGGTGGACATCATATGAAGTCCTCCATATGCGCGCCTCCTACAAGCTCTAAACACAGCAGATGTATAGACAGTCTAGGCACAGCAGATGACAGCTCATTGTACTGGGCCAGCCCTGGTACCATGTGATCGATGTAACTAATCACAGCCATCACATGTCAAATGTACACAATGAATGGCTTTCCATTCATTTCATTTATTGTGTATTATTGTGACCTCTGTGATTAGTGATCACAGTGCACCTGTAGCATGTGACAGCTGTGCCCAATCACAACTGTACGTAATATCACCTGAATGGATGCCATTCATAAAAATTATTTCTTATAACAGTGGCCATCACTGCTATAAGCAATCATAATGTAAAACAAAAATCTGATCACCTCCCCAGAGTAGTACAGTGTCACTATGGTAACAGTGCATTGCTCTGGTCACAGCATGTAAAAAAAAGACAGTTAAAAAGAGAAAAACATGTTTAAAACATTGAAAAAAAATATTATTCATATTTATAAATTTTATATCATTAGTATTTACATTTTTTTACATACTGTCCCCAGTCAGTATCTCTGTTCATGCCCCCCACCAGTCATAGTATGATGTTGATGATGTTGTATTGCTTTGGTGACGGTGTGTGTGTAAAAAAATTGTGAAAAAAACTAATTTTCTTTATTTTCTTCATTTTCTAAAAAAATTGTTATTGAAATTCAAATTGTGACAGCACGTAAATCTGAACATTGGTCTGGGCATGAATTGGGAGATAGTGACCAGTATTGAAATGATACAGAGAATATACAGTATTTTGGTTTTGGTCAATTTTATTCTACACTTTCATTCACTATTTTTTTTTTACATATTTTTTAGAAAAAATGTCAAATCAGGCTTATATTATTAAACCCCAGAAGTGGCAACAAGCTTGGAAACATTCTGTGTGTAGTTTAACATCTGCTACATTTATTGCTATACATTTAGTGCACACATTGATAAAAGCTCAGTTGTATGCAGTGTTTTTGGAAACAGTCCCTTTCTGGTTTCTTCTATTTCTTGCAAAATATCTTCTTCAGGTCTTCTTTCCATGCTTTCTGGCTCTGTATAAATATAAAGCCAGTTTGAAATTTTAGGTATTCCTAAAAATCCTACTGGGGAAAATGGGCCCCCCTCAAAATAGTTATGGAAGGTATACAGTCCTGGAATTCAAGCAACAAAACCTCACTATTTGAATACTCAAAAGAGAAATTATTAAGTCTTTTAACATTTATATGTATTAATTATGTAATAAAGTATTTTTATGTAATGAATAAATAAAGTGCTATAAACATTTTGGGCTAATTTGGGCTAACTCTTTAAGCTAATAAAATTCTATAAAGGTTTTATGTCCATCACAAAACATATGAATACATAATGTATTAAAGGGTTATAGTAACAGGACTGCTGAATGTAAATCACAAATGCTTTACAATATTAATGGCTTACGTTAATGAACACATACTTCTAAAGTCTAATTTTATATAGATAAAAGTAATGGTGTAAAACAAATGTATAGTAAGTG